GAAATGATGCATCTAACAGCCTGCAGGCAAAGAGCTGCTGCTCTTTCTGTTTTCTTTACCGTGCAAGCTGCCTGTGAAGCAGACCACTGCGCAAGGGAGGAGGTCTGCCAGGCTCTTCGGCCATGAATTGTGAGCTGGGAGCAGAAGTTCAGCCCTTCTCCAGAGGCAGCTACTTCACAGCCTGTCACGCAGGGATGAAGCTTTTGATCCTGTAGCCTGCTTGAATACAAGAATCTGTTTGTTTCTATATACTGGAAGCAAGCATACATTATTATTTTAGATTAAAGGTAACAGCCAAACAAGGAAGAATAAAAGAGAGATCTCCTAGAGAGAGGAATTCTTTATGCCTGGAAATGACCTAGCATGCTTCTGAGTATTGTGTATGAAAAAAAAGGAATATGCTTTTAAAACATCCTGCAGTTGTGGTACAGTGAAACAAGTCCATGGGCAACAGTGTTTACCATTTATACATTCAAATATTTAAAAATTTGTTTAGCTATTACTTTAATTAACTCTATTTGAACTGTTTTGCTAAATGAAACCCTTCTTTGTCAGTTTAATATACCTAGATAAACAGCACATAAAATATATATAGTAATCAGAATTCAGGAAAAAAAATTTCCAGTTTTCATTTACTTTTAAATTCCCCAAATGAAAGAAAACTTTCTCTGTAAATACTATCAGAAAGTGATAACTGACTCATGTAACATACTTTCATAATATTTCTAATATGCATCTGAAGAATGCATTGATATGTCCAGGAAGCTTTCTTTTTCTGAAAAGAATACACAATTATATCAAGGGAGAAAATAAAGTCAGTACAACAGTTGTGATTGTTGTTGATTAGGTTTTGCTTCTATACAGGGGCATGAATTTTGCCTTAAGTTCAATTTATTACCTTTGCAGGTATGATACTACACTATTACATATGATTCAAGAGGACTGCTGGAAATAACCACCATTTGACAGAATTTATTACAATGGACAAAATGTATTAGAAGAATTTGGAACAGTTTATTTAAATCCAAGGATAGATGGATTCTGAACTTTATTTGCCATGAGCTTTTTCACAACATTTCCTCTGTAACTACCTATGCCTTAGCACACCATTATTTACAGATGCTTTTGACAGAGTATTTGGTCTCGACAACTGAGATTTATACAATCAGTTTTATTTTAACTTGTGTATACTTGCCTTTGCCCTCACTCATATTCCTATAATCTTTATGTGTATGGAGATGTGCACAGGTCTGTGGCTGCAGTCAGTATCAGACAGGTAAATGGTTCCTGTCATTTAAAATGCAATTGGTGTAATTTTGAAACTGGAGCTTTTCATTATTCAGTACTTAATCATGTGTTAACTTATAGCAGGCACTTTTTGCCCTAATTTAATGAAAATTCTCCAATATAATGCCATATTTCAGGATAAATATATTTTCTTCTCCCCATTAATGGGTGAAAACTTATTTTCATGCTTAAATTTTAATTTTCAAAGGAAAGACTATTGCTGCCTTTCTGACTTTGTGCATTCCATTTTGTCCAGAATAGCAACAGGCTTGATAAAACAGATGGATATAATCCCGTATTTCCTTAATTTAGGAATATTTGCTCCTCTGTCTTTTTCTTGCTCTTTATTTTAAACATTCTCAATACTCAGCACTATTCATCTGCTCTGCAAATGGGTGAGTTATATTAAAAACTCTCTGCATTATTCTTAGACTTTTCTTTAAAGAACAAATGCACTTTTTCGCTTGTCAGGATCTGCTGAATTGGTCTATATTATTCAAAGAGTAATCAATACAATCTTCAGAAACACTATTTCTATTAATCAGTGATTTCTCCCTGATTCGAACTAGTTTCCTTTGAATTATTTCCAAGCCATATATTTTCCCAAGTGAGTAGTAGTGGGACAAGTCTGATATTTTCTTTTTCATCATATTGATAGTCTTTGCTGAATAGTGTTGAAGAATTGACTAAGCCAATAAATGAATAGCAAAAAGAGGTGCTTATTTGATCATTATCATTGTAGTCTTCTCAACAAATTAACTATACTTAAATTTCAAATACAATCTGTCAAAGTACACAGGTAGTTTTATTCATCTTTGTGTTTTATGTGTCCAGAGTTTTCATAAGCTCATTGTTACCTTAGTTGTTAAGTCATTAAAATAAAGCTTTCATGACATTTACGTAGGCTATATACTTTCTCCAAGTTATTTATGGTGGGTGACTTTTACTGAATAAGCACAACAAAGCCTTAATCCTTAAACAAGTGTTCCTATGATTTATATTATTAAGTTGAACAAACAGAATATAGTTTTAAGTTTAGCCTTTATTAACAGCTTGAAAAGTATAGCACAAAAATCTAGCGATCAAACGTTTATGCTTTTATTATGAGCTTCATAGTATGAAAAGGCACAATCCTAAGGGTCTCATGAAAAAAATCAAAGAGTTTTACTAGAAGACTGAATACCTACTGCATATTGCATTTACCCAGGGATTTTATCCAGCTGTGATGTGGAATTTTCTGATCTTAAGGTAAATGTAATTAAAAGCTGTGAGGAACATTGAATAATTTGAAAAGATATAGTTGTTGTTGCTATTGTTAGATAACTCTGATCTCACTAAGAATTCAACCTGGCCTGCAGAGCTGCGGAGGGTTTTGAATATAACCATAACATTAAATTGAGAAGCTGAGTATGTGTCGGCCATGACTTGGCAAGGACTGTGTAGTTGTGCCAACAGTTAGCACCCATGGAAGGCATAAAAAGCAGTGACTTATAGAAGAGGACATCTGTCTGTGAGAGTTAGGCTCAAATATATGCCAGTGATTATATAAGAATACAGTAGAAATTAGTGATCAGAAAGCTCCTTCTACCAAGGATTCACTCTCCTTCGGATTTTGAAGATAGCCTTATGATGCTGCTCTATTAAAAAATGAAGGGATGAAGCAAAAAAAAAAAAAAATTCATTGTCTTCTTCTTCTTCACCATTATCATCATCATTATTATTATTACTATTATTTTAAATTAACTATTGTTTTAAATAGTTCTCCCTAGTGAGAGTAAGGGCTTGAAGCATCAGATCCTTCTCAGCAAAGCCCTGCTGCAGTTTGTATGACCAGAAAAAAGGCAATATTTTTGACTCTCATTGAGAATGAAACAAAGTTTTGTTGCATTTTTCATTAGCCACCACTGTCCAATGGCCAACAGTCATTACTGAAGGTGAATGTTGATCCCAACCCTTTTCCTTTGGTCAGGTGCCCTGATTATGACTGCATTACAAGAATTGCTCCTGCCTGTTTTTTGCTGCTGTGCATTCTCCTGCTCCCTTTCAGCAAGGAAAGTGCTTCTGCACAGAATACCTGCAGGTATGGTACTTCAGGCTTGTAGGATGTTGAAAAGATGGGAAAAATATGATAAGGGATTTATCTATTCCCTTTATTTTTTGCTGTGTTCTGAGAGTTTAACTAGATCATAATAAGGAATGACATCTCTCTTTGTCACAGTAGAAAGTTTTGGACCTTTATTTCATAATGATAGGTGCCCATGTAACAAGTATATTTGGGATTTTAGGGACTTGCAATGCTAAACAATGCTATTGAGAGTGGCCCTGCAGAGAAACATGGGGTGTCGGCTGATGAAAAACTCAGCCAGAGCTGGAAGTGAGTACTCACAGCCCAGAAGGCCAACCAAATCCTGTGCTGCTTCAAAAGGAACGTGGGCAGCAGCTGAGGGAGGTGATTCTGCCATCCTAATCTGCCTTCATGAGACCCCACTGGAAGTTCTGTGTACAGTTCTGGTGTCCCCAGCATGGAATTGTTGGAGCAAGCTCAGAGGAGGGCCATGAAGTTGATGAGAGAACTGGAGCCCCTTCCCTACAAAGCTGCGCTGAGGAAGTTGGGGGTGTTTGGCCTGGAACGGAAGGTTGTGTGGATACCTCACAACAACCTTCTAGCGTCTGAAGGGGCCTACGGGGGAGCGGGTTAGGAACTCTTTGTCAGGAACTGAAGTGATGGGACAAGGTGTAATGGGTACAAACTGAAAGAGGGAAAATACAGTTAGACAATAGGAAGAAATTCTTTACTGTGAGGATGGTGAGCCACTGGAACAGGTTGTCCAAAAACATTGTGGATGTTGCAACTCTGGCAGTATTCAAAGCCAGGTTGGATAAAACCTTGAACAGTCTGGTCTAGTGGCAGGTGTCCCTGTCCACGGCAGGAGGGGCTGGTTCTAGATGATCTTTAAGGTCCATTCTGACCCTGTAGCATTCTATGATTCTAAGATTCTTCCAAACAAACAGGCTGTATTTCTGCGTGGAGGTTAGGTGGCCTCTTCTGGGCAGGCAGAATAACATGTCAAATAAACTGACACAGGTGACTGTGGTGCACAGCAGAATGTTCACCCCAGCTGTTAAGACTATAGACTTTCAAATACCCTAATATTTTCTTAGTTTGATATATTTTTCTTTTTTTTTTTAAGGCTTAGTCTTTGAAAATAGGATTAGAGGAAGGAAAAAGCACTGAAAACTACAAATCTCTTTGGGATACTTTGCATGTTTGCCAAATATCTCTTAGGTTTATTGTTTGAGTAGAGTTGGGCTGAAATCCAGAAGTCTCCATTTCATCCCACTTTTCATGCAAGGTCTTAACTCAAAAGTCGAAATACTTTTTACACTTCTGCTACATTTGCTTCAACTGAAAACTTCACTTGAAGCTTAAAAGGCATTTTGTTTGTAGCAGAATTCATAAGATTCATGTCAGTATCAAACTGTGAAAATTCATTCCTCGGCAGAAGTACTTTCCATAGCTGGACTGAAAAATGCTGCCCTTTAGAAGTGTTATATAAATCCTATAACATTTGTAACTGAGACCAGAACAGAAAGAATATTTTAATCATCCAACTCTTGTCCACAGTGCATGGGAGTTATGGGACCAAATATTAAGCACTTAATAGAACTACATTTTGTCTTTCATTTCCCAAGTTTCTATTGCAATTTTTTTTTTTTTCCTATAAATGATCTCTAAAATGGCAAATGGTTATATCCCGTTGTTTTCAGTTAGGTTCTTCCTGTTGCTGGGGCAGAAATCTTTTGATGGTTACTGAACAATACATGATTGTTGAGCATCTCTCTACAACTTGTTAGCACACCATGTCAAAATTTTTCTCACCAACTTTTCAGGCCCACAGTTGTCACATTGTATAGTTCTTGTGTTTTTAACCAGTTTTTTTTTATCACCCTGTCCTCTCATTATATTTACATATTTCTGTTACACATAACCTGGGATTAATTTCATTGAGTTTTAGATGTCTACATCCAGAGTGACAGAGCTAACCTCTCCTAGTTATTGAAAAGCAAGCTCTGCAATTGCAATAATCTGTTATGAATAAGACAGCTATAGCTGATCTGATTTTAATTCAGAGAATGGAGTAGATAACCTCTGTAATTTCTCTCTGCTTTCATCCACTGTAATTCAATACCAGTGCAAGATGATCAAACTTGTCAGATTTTGAATCTGAACAGCAACAGAATTTGGGATAGTGCAGGAGAAAAAAATTAACACAAGTTTTCAGGTAAGGCAAGGTTCTAATGGATTATTTTCTTATTAAAGTACTTAAATATTGACTAGTGTAGGCATCTATCTCTCAGGATATGGTTCAGTGACTTTGTTTTATATAGTGGACAATGATAGGAATTTACACTAATACTAGTTGTAAGTGTATTTGCAAAAGATTGAACAAGTCCCTAACTTGTGCAGATTCATGTCTTAGGAAAATTATAGACAAAGATTTATTGTAAACAATGATAAACTGATGTTGGATGCATGATTTTTTACAAGTCTATGATCAGTTCTATCTAAACTAGACTATTCTCCTGTGCAGAATAATATACTATGTCATTAAAACTGGTTTATGTACTCAAATAGAAAGTGGCCTTTTACAAATAAATAATTTGTAATTCATTGCTGCTGCCCAAAATTAAAATTAAAAAGCATTGCCCAGAGACTTGAGCATAAAAAAAACTTCATATAAGTAATTGTGCTGGTCTTCCTTTTTTTCTCCCCTTTTATGATTTCAATTTGGTATAAACTTGCCTTCTGCCTTGTTATCTACATCTGTGGTTTTGCTTTCAGGTGTGATCCACTGAGCTCTGGAAAGCTTAATTATTCTACAAGTGGACAATGCCGGTCTTCTCCAAGTAATACTATATCTCATAATGGGTGTCATGGAACCCAACAGAAAAAGTGATTGTATACACTAGGAAATATTTCCTCATGGTAGCAAATATATGTCATCTGTTTGGTGGTGTTGTGGTTTCGTTTTTTCTTTTTTTGTGTTTTGGTTTGGTTTTTTTTTTGTTTGTTTTCAGGGGTTTTTGTTTTTTGGTGTATTGTTTTGTTTTTAATATTGTCTCTCATGGACAAAAAGGACTTTGTATTACCTGGGAGGTTATTACTGGTATAAAATCATTATATCTTTTTCTCTTCTGCCATTATTTTTCATTTTGAATGTGGCAGAATTGTCCTCTTAGATCATAACTTCAAGTATATTTTTATTCAAACAGTAAGACATCAACTCAAAGGTCTAATGCAGAGCAATGTTCATTATCATCTTGTTCTGTACTGTAAATAACAATAATTCAGTTTGTGAAATTATTCCATATCTGTATAAAAATACTAATCCTGTGTGTTGTTTGGACGAGTTATATACAGTAGAGAAGAGAGGAGAATTACAGAATGATGTTAATAATTGTTCAAATAATTGAGAATATTGTGAGGCAACTGAGAGAAAGAAGATTTTACATATTGGGATAACTAAAGTATAACCTGGAAAAAATATGAGTCACGAAAGTCGCAACTGACTAATCAATTGTTTATGGTACTGTGGAACTCATACTGGAGGCAGTACAACAGCATAATGAAAAGCAGAATATAATACTGTTATAAGAGCAGACATCATTAAAAAAATATTAATCAAACTTAATAATACAGTAGGGAAAATAACAACATTTTGCTCTCACTCATATAAATAAGTTCCAAACTTAGAGCAAAAATAGATGTTTAAATGCATTAAGGAAAGAGTTATAAAACCATATGCTAAAAATATAAACAATATTTAGAAAATACATTTAACATTATTAGATGTAGGCAAATATTTTCTATAGTTGCAGAGCCAAAGGTAATTAAACTAGGTTATATGATTTAAATATAATAGAAAAATAACAAAAGACCAACTAATAATCCTTTCCCTTGTATCATTGCTACATTTCACCAATCTGTAGTTAAAAAAAGTCAAACTCAAAAAGTTTTTGATCAAGATATATATATATGCATTCATTGTATAAAAAAATAATTTGATTATAAAGCCAATACATTAGTATGAAACACAGCATCTAAAATGTATAATTCCATGTAAAGTTCTTGTCTCAGACTGCCATTAGGAAGAAGACAGTATTATTACTTCCTTTTTTGATAATACCTTAAATTAACTACCTGTTTTTACTGATTCTAACTGAATTATCTAAATTCTGGTACTTTAAAATATTTTTTTCCAACAAAAATGCTCCTGAGTGTTATAATGAGATTTTTATTTTGACTCGGTTTCGTAAGTACATACTATACTTAAGAACAGTCAATTCAACTATAAATGTGAAAAAGATGCACTTTCTTTAAGCTGTTCCTCATTTCTGCTCCTCTTTTCCTGGTAGACATGAAATTCTAGTCCCTTGACTCTCAAGATACTGTTAGACAACAGGAGAAAGGGCAAGAAACTGCTAGAATAAACAGAAGAGGAGAAATTAAATATATGATAACTTTTAGTAGCATTGCCTAATACATTACTGGAACCTCTACAAAAATGTTGTATAGGAATTTTTAAGTGTATAACATAATAAAAGTTTCTTAGAACATGAAGATCAAGGAAAATTAGTAAGTACAGCAAAACTGGGCATTGCTATAGTATATTTTCGATCCATGACACAGGTAATAACTTGTAAAATGTTTTAGTAAATGGAGGTAGATGCTTCAAAGGAACTGCAGCACACATTTTCTCCAACAGAGGGGCAAATTTATGTGCATGATCCAGCTAGGCCGGTTACAGTCCCAAGACACAATTTTCTACTGCAATGAGACAAAAAGTAATGTCTGTCCATGGATGCTGCAAAGCTCAATTTATCAATTGCAAAAAGCAAGAGAGGAAGTGTGTCAGGAAGACCTGGGTGTCTGTCCATGCACACGCACATAAATGTGGAGAGAGCTGGGGTTAGCCAAGAGCTGCTCACCACAGCTACTGTGGTGGGCTGGCACAATCCAGCCTGGGGACACATGGTGCTTGTCACAGTCAGGATCTGGTCAGTTACTTGACCCTGACAGAGGCTCTCTGTTCATAGACCATGCCAGATGTCCATGTAGTAATATTTCCTCCAGTTATTTTTCTTGGAGGGGCCTTTGTAAGCAGATATTGGCCCAGGCAACCAGTCAACCTGTCCATAGTGATTTTGCACTGCACCTTTTTAGCAGTCTCAGGTGTTTTCCTGTCATTTGCATTTCAACACCCCTACCAAGGCCAAATCCATCCAGTTCTTATCTGAGTTGCTCTGTCAGCTGTGGCTGACAATGCCCAGTCCTCAGTTCTTGGTCTCAAGGTCATGATGCTCCCCTGACATTGTAATTTGCCTATATGGGAATTACACCCTATTCTTTTACCCACCTGTTCCCTTCTACTTCAGAGTGTGACAAAAAGCCCATTTGACTAATCAGATATGAAAATCCTGGATCTAGGAAACCCATAATGATAGTTGATTGACTCCCAAATGATTCTGAGATTGCTGTTACTAGGAAAGGTATGTGATCCCAACAGGATCAGAGCTCAGCTTAAATCTTTATGTCTTATTATTAAATCTGTAATTAAACACATTAGTAGGGATATCTGCTAACAACTAGTACAATCTAGGAAATTTATATTCTACTTCCTAGGCAACTGCAGACTCAGCCGTTATCACTCACCAGAGGTTGAATTGAGGTTGCCTGAGGATGGAATCACAAGTGAGTACCACAGTACACAAACACTTTTGATTTTCCTCTCACTTATCTGCTGCAGATAAAAGAAGGCTTTTGCTTTGTTCAGGTAAACGTCTGTATTTTCTTTATAACCAACCTTTTATCATTCTTATTTTGTTGCAGTCTGACCCAAAGGCTTTTTTGGTTATGGAAAACATGTTTTATGAAGTGAAAGCTTTGTGAAAATAACTTATTCTGCCCAGATAGAATGTTAAGGGTCATTTCCCGTTGCTCTGACAGGTAGTAAATGCTTGCTTCCCTTCTGCAACACGTAAGACAATGAGGAACAGTCTCAGTGTATCTAAAGCAACAATGACTTTTCTAAGTAAGAAATTATTGTCTGAGCATCTGTTGCACAGAATAACTGCACACAGCATGTAAAGAATTCAACTCAGCCATACTACAGTTAAAATGCTTTTACGATAAATTATAAAAGCCAGAAGTCTCACTATTGTGAATTTATAGACCAGTTATTTTAATTTAATATTCATTATGTATCATAAAAATAGACTGTCTGCCAGGAATAACAAAATAAAACAGAGAAACTTCAAACTCATAGTCTGTATTTCTGGAAGGGCCTTATTGATTTTCTTTGTTCTAGTATTTCTGGTAGAACTGAATTAATTACTGATGCATCCTAAGAGACAAATCATTTGTCTGAAATTCTGTTTTTATTTTCTTTTGGAAGTTTATTTTCTAAAAAACCCTCAAATTTGAAGACTGCTGAGACTATCACAGTTAAATCAATGCATTATTCTCACGTTAATGTGAAGTTCTGCTCTACTTGGGGAAATAAAAAGTGGCTTATCTTGTGAAATATAGAGCATGACATTATCTAGTGGGCTGTTAGGTTTGCATTTCCTAATGCCTTATGAGACTTTTGAATTTAGATATTTTTAGGATAGTGAAATCAACCCTTTAATATGGGATGAAATTCATACTATTATGTCGCAGGGGGCTACACAGATTAGTTATATATCCCAATAAATAGCAAAAAAGCTTGGATTCTCTGGAATAGGATTCTTCCCTACTGCTTTTGCTGCCAGTTGCTATTAATTTCCACTTAAAACTGCATGGGCAAAAATGGAATGCTGTGACCAGTTTGAGTACAAACTACAAAAGTATCCACAGAAGAGAAATTAGAATAACTGGAACACTACAAAGCCTGATATGTAAGCAAAGATTGAAACATCTAGGGTTTATTATTTGAGGAAAGAGAATAATGATTGATGGACATGTGGTAGCAAACCTATGAGTACGTAAAAGATAATTATGCTATAAGATATGTATAAGTATGCTGTAAGAAGAAGAAAACAACTTAGTATGCAATTGAAAAAAAATAAAAAGGAGTTAAAGGATTTATTCCAACAATTAAAATGTATGTTCTATTTTAGGGAAAAAAAAAAAAAAAGATCCAAATAGAAAGATCCAAGTAAAAATGATAATGAAGCACTGAAACATCCTGCCCAGAAATTCTGGAAGCGCCGAACTTCAGCAATGTATTAGACAAATATTCCTGAGAAATGAGTAGTGGTCTATAAGAATCCCTTTCAAAGGGGAGCATAAAATTAGATTACTTTGTGAATCTTCTCAAAGGTTTAATTATTTTATTTTAAGTCATTCTCTTCAAAAGCACCTCCTTCAGAACAGATGAAGAACTGCAGAAGGGTTTTCTAAGATCACATGGATGGGATATATAATGGATTCCTGTGTAGGAAAGAATGGCCTGCCACAACATTACATTTTCCCTTCCATCTTTGTGGTTTAGGCATACATGATATTAAAAACATGATTTTAGACTTACTCTAGACTAGTTTGACCTATTCCACTGTATTCCTGGTACAGTCTAGGACACTTTAGTGATGAAAAAAAAACTTTCTAAGTTTTGTCTTTAGGGTTAGGCAGCAACGCTTCAGAGTATTAAGAAAAAAGATTTTTCTCATTGATTCCTGAAATTATAGTCAGATGTTTAAGCTACAAAGATAGCTAGAGACCATAATAATTTCTTTCATTTATAATATTTTTCCCCCTTTAAAACCGATACTGAGTTTTGAGTCACTTAAAAGTACTTGAGATTATTGATCTGTGGGCTGCTGATTTTTGCATACATAATGAAGAGCCCCCTGACTTGGTTTCAGTGGTATTTTGCCTAGAGAAAGCAAATTCAGGATCTCAGAGTCTCATGAAGGTGCTCAGGGTAGTCTGACATGACACAAGTCAGAGACATAACTCACACATCTTCTCCCTGGCATGACATACGTGACAACTGCCAGGTCTCAGCTCCTCAGCCAGTGTGCTTTATAAGACAGTCTCATTTGTCATACATCAACAGCAAAGAAAACCTCCTTAGAAAATTTGATGTATAAAGTTTTCTGCAGTAATTTCATTGCTGTGCTTTTACATGTGTTCCTTGGTGGCAGCTGTGGGTGTAACTTCTGAGTTTGAGGCAAGAAAAATTGACATATGGTTACACACAGTAGATATATAGTGGGGCAAAATAGTTTATCTGAAAAGGGAAATCCTGTTTGAGAAACTTTTTAGAGTTAAATGCTATCTTACTTTCTTCTATTTGAAAGTGTGGCTATATTTTTGATATCTCCACTGAAGCAGGAAGATGGAAACAACTTTAAAGATGTGGAAAATGCTCTTTAAAAAAAAAAATCTAAGATTTATCAACTAAATATCCTCTTACCGACAGACAGGAAGTCTGATGACAGTGAAGGGTGCAGCTATGCCAGATAAGATAAAAAAACCAGCCTCTTCAGGTCTTTCAGTGCATAAAGGTAACGAGCACTTTTCATATTAGGTATGTTCCCTAGTCTGAAGCAACATTTACACTAAAAAGAGACTCTGGTTCTTCTGAAGTACTGTTGAGCTGAGGCAGCCTGGAGACAGAAGAGTCTTCATGTAATCAATATTTTCCTTTAGAGTTTGGCATCTTTGTTAGCAATGTTTCTCACTGAAAAGAGTGCTCAATGCATTGTAGAAAAAATATGCTTTATAAGAAACACTGTAAAACATATATATTGAGATAAAACAACCTTGGACAACTTTTGTCATTGTTTCTGATGATGTTTAAAAAAGAATGTTTTGCAGTAAATGGAGCTAGTCTGACACACAAGTCTAACTGCAATTTCCATTCTCACTTGATGGCCATAAAGACCTCCCTGACTATTTGACAAAATAATATTGCAGATGTTTTAGATGTTACCACTTTTCTCAGAAAAAACATCTTAATGTGAAGCTATTGTAACTGCAAAGGACAGACTTAAGTCAATCTAAACTGTATGTTCAAATTTAAGTGCAATTATTCTGAAATAAAATGAAAAAATAAAATAAACCATATTTTAATCAAAATTATGATGATAAACAAAGACATTTAAGATAAATAATTTTTAATATCAATAATTTATAAAAGTAACACATGAAGTGTCATTGACAGCCCATTTTGACAGTCATACAATTTCAAAAATATTTTGTTAAATATTTGCATTTTATATCTGATTCTGTAGGTATAGGCATCAAGCATTCAAAATGCTTGTACTTTTCTCATTATTAATTATAAATATATTTGTTAGGTAAATCAAATGGCTTTGCTTTTACACCCCATCTTTCACTCACATTTCAGAAAAAGAAGCTTTCAAAAGGTAAAAGGGGATAGTAAGTAAAAGGAATTTATTCATGGTGGAATCAATAGGTTCCAGTCCCTTTCAAATACCAACTAGAAAGACCCACTTTCAAGACAGATAATTATTTATTGGTACAGTGATGGCAAAGGTGATAGAAAGTTATAAAATCTTACAAACCTTTTGATGCAGGGAAGCCAGTGCTATTTCAGCATTGGGCAGACCTCCAGTCAGGGCACCTAGAACAGGTTACACAGGAAGATGTCCAGGTTGATTTTGAATATCTCTGGAGAGGGAGACTCCACAACCTCCCTGAGCAGCCTGTTTCAGTGCTCTGACACCTCCGTGTAGAGAAGTTCTTCCTCATGCTGAGGTGAAACTCCTTGTGTTTGAGTTTATGGTCCTTGCTCCTCATTCTGTCACTGGCCACCACTGAAAACAATCTAGCACCCTCCTCTTGACACCCAGCTTTGAGGCATCTGTGTGTATTGATGAGATACCCTCTCAGTTTTACTCTTCTGTAAACTAAACAAGCCTAGCTCATAAGGTGTTTTCCAGACCCGCAATCACCTTTGTAGTCCTCTGCTGGATTCTTGTATTTCTTCCGGTGTGCATAGCAGAACTGAATACAATACTTTGTATGTGGCCTTAGGAGGAGGATCACCTCCCTTCTCGTTATCACTTGGATAACAAGAAATGAAAACTAAATTTTAAAACACCTTCCCCCTGCCCCTTCCTTCTTCAGAGATAACTCTGAGAAAGTCTGTACTCAGACCAAAGACAGACGAGAAACAAGAGAGCTTGAGCAGATTGGCTATTTTTGCCTTGTTTTTGAGTAGGGCCAGTCATTCAAGGTACAGTCAGATAGACCTGTACTTCCTTCACAGTCTTGAGACTGCTGCTTTGTTGGAAATGAGTCATAGAGTGGTTTGGGTTGAAAATGGACCTTGAAGAGCACTTAGTTCCAGTCCCCCTGCTGTAAGCAGAGACACCTTCCAATCAGAGTCCCACCCAACCTCATGTTGAGTGCCCCCAGAGTCAGGGCATCCACAACTTCCATGGGCAGCATGTTCCTGTGCCTTACCACCCTCACAGTAAAGATTTTTTTTTTTCAATATCTAATCTAATCTAATCTAATCTAGTATCTACTGACTTTCAGTTTGAAGCATTCTCCTTGTCCTGCCACTACATGCTCTTGTAATAGTCTTTCCCCATCTTTCCTGCAAGTTCCGTTCAGGTACTGGAAGGCTGCAATTAGGTCACCCCGAAGTCACTTTTCCAGGCTGAATGATCCCAGTTCTTTCAGCCTTTCCTCACAGAAGAGGTGTTCTATCCTTCTGATGAACTTGGTGGCCTCCTCAGGACTCACTCCAACAGGTAAATGTTGTTCCTGAGTTGGGGGGTGCAGATGGAACCACAGAGCTGGATGCAGCTATCCAGGTAGGGTCTTACCAGAGCAGAATCCCGTAACACACTGCCAGCTCCTGTCCAGCCTCTCATCCACCAGCACACATAAATCCTTCTTGGCAGGGCTGCTCTCAGTCTGTTCATCCTCCAGCCTGGATTGATACCTGGCAGTGCCCAGACCCAGGTGGAGCACCTTGCACTTGGTTTT